GGTAGATAACTTACCAGTAATTTATCGATCATTTACTGTATAATAAATTTGACCTCACACTTCTCCTTCTCTATAATTTATGCAATTGCGTTGTATTGATGCAATCAACGTTCACATTAAAGAATTGTTTACCTGATTGTTACAAAACTTCATTTTTACATACAAAATCCATCTAAACACTCATTACCGGGATCACATTCATTATCATTATAGCAAGGCACACAAATGCCAGCAGAACATGTCCCGGTCTCACAATCTTTGTTATTGACGCAAGGATCACCAACCCAGCACAACCATGCATTATTTTTCGGCTTGCATATACAAACTCCAGCTTCAATCATACATCTGAACCCATCATTACAATCATAGTCACTGGCACAAGGCATACAAGCGCTTTGATCACCATGGCATCCTTCGAACGCGCAATCTTCATTTAAAGTACAATGATTTCCAAGTTGGCAAAGCTCGCAATTATTATCATTGCAATCACAGCCCCAGTAGTCTTCTAGAAAAAATTTGACCTTTTCGGTTTGCTTCTTCTCATACACTACTTAATAAAAGTAAACGAATATTTGAATCTTAGTACAGGTCAAAGAATAACTTTATAAAAAATACCCACCTTCGATTGGGAGTAACCAAATGATAATCGACACAATGCAAAAAGAAAGAAAACAATAATACTTCATGATTGTAAATTTTTAAAATATTGTGAAGATTTAATCTTTAAAAGTGACTTTATATGTTTCATTATATGCTTTTTAGTTGATGACTATTAAAGCTAATATTATTCGAAAATCTTTTTATAGATGAAATTTTCAGCTTTCATATTTAATCTAAAGGTGAATTGTAGTACTTTGGCCTGCATTAACATAATTTAAGCCGATGAACTTCAAAATTTTTGGTGTAGATTATTAGATATTAATTAGCTCAAGAGCCTAATTGAGTTTATTAATAGAAAGTTACGTAATTTTGACCTGAGCTCCATAATTATCGATTACTGTCGTGCATTTTTTGTGTGGTACCTAGACTAAATACCAGTTAAATTTAAATTTTAATTTTAAACACGTATACATATAACGAAATTAGAATGTATATATCTGATATAAGGAAAATCATTACAAATTTGAACTAAATCATATATTTAAATTTTGCGAAATATAAAAAAAAAACTTTTTTTCTAATAAAAATTTTAGAGCTGATTATCGTAAAAATTATAGATCATTTATAGAAACCGTTTAAGTTCAGAACTTTCATCTTTTTATCCAAAAAAGTAACTTGCAATGTGTATAAGTATGTATCATATGAAGTTTATTAAAAGCACAGCCAGTAATTGAATCATCTAAAAAAATACACCCGAGTCTTCCGAGTGATCAACAAGTACATCTCAATGCAATCTCTTGTTTAAAAAACTATTTTAAAGAATTACTTAAAATGTTTATTACAATATCGATTAAATTTAGGAACGAAATGATGGATCCCCTAAAAACAGCATGCATAGTTTCAAAAATAACGAGTTTCGTTTGATACCTTTACTGCCGGAAAATCTCTCAAAATAACGTACAGGTAGGCGTTATTACTCAAAAATACTTTAAAGTTATTTCAATTTAATTGGAGATTTTAAATATATTTAGATATTATTATAATATTGGAATTTTTTTTCTCTCTCTCTAAATAAATTTAAAGAGATCTTATAAGATAGTAATGGGTTCCAAAATAATCTGGATTTCCCAAATCAGTTAATACATCACATAAAGTTCTGTATACTTTATTGCCGAAACTTTGTGATGCTAATTTATCGCATGGCTTGAGCTTTTGGATCCCATCAGAATCAATGGAATATGCATGCAAACACAATTAATACGAATTAAATTACTTGTGGTATATTACATAATGGTGATTTTAAATGCGTTGTAGATAATCAACTGATCATTTTATACTCGCATATCACAGTAAATCAAACTTGACTAGTCTGTGTAATGGTAAATATGTATTAAATAGAGACCTTAAATCTTAGTATTAGCCAATTCTAGCTTTAGCTATCACAATAATTTATTTAATAAATTAATATAAATAAAATAGACTGATAGATATTACTAAAAACAATATTTTTTTGCAATTATTATTAGAAATATAGTTGAATTGTATTATTATTTAATACATATTTACATATAAATATTAATATATTATATGGGGTGAGTCAATAGATATCAAGCAAGTTTTTTATAATAAAAATATTTTATAACTTTAAACAAGAATAACTTAATAAAACCTTGACCAAATTTAATAAATAATTTTTACAAACTTGTAGAATTAATTTAAAAAAAAAATTTATTTAAGTTTATGTAAGTTATCCTTGTTTAAAGTTTTTAAAAAACTTATTAAAAAAATATTTGCTTGGTTTCTATTGATTTAACCCCATATATAAAGAGAGAGTTATTATTTATCATTGCCAGGATACAGTTTAAATGATCGATCAATCAAATCAGAGTTACAAATTAAATTTTTTAAAACTTGATCAAAGACATCTCAATAATTACCGTATCTAATCAATTTTAATAAAAATATTTTTTACTTAAATTTTACAAATTTATAAACTTCAAATATTATTTAATTAATATTAATTAAAAAGTTTTTTTTTATATATATACCGTAAATTCTCAAAATAGCGGGCATGGGCGTTATTTTGAGTTTTGGCCCGAATTAGGCTTAATTTAGGCTAAATTTTGTAATTTTACCCCTGGGTATTATTTTGATAATAACAAAAAAGCAATAGACCAAAAATTTTACCTTGTAATTTTATCAAAATTATATTAGCTTATTGCTTTCTTTATTATAAAATTTTTGTATACTTATTGCTACTTTTGATCAACAAATTAAAATGCAGAATTAGATATAATATAAAATTAAAGTATATAATTATAATCATAAAAAAAACACACAACTCTTTTCAACAATCATCTGGACCAAAATTTCCCACCAAATAAAAACCAAAATCTTGTTGAAGAGGTGTGGCCTAACAAGCGGTTTGTCTGGAAGTTAACGTTTTTTTTGTTTTGGGACTCCTCTATCAGTTGTACATTCGGCATACAAGCCAAGAGCATTAGTATTCAAGATAACTGGCTAGAGATATGTGCCCTTGGATGCAAAATCTTGGTGGGTAGACAAGTGTCTTTGCTGTCGACAAAGTTCATAGGCTGTTACTTTGAAGAAGAATACAGGGGAAACAACAAGGCTTTGCTATTCTTTAAACTACACTCTTTTACTTGGCCAAGTGGTTTCTATTTTACCTTTACTCGCCCTCCTGTTGGTCTTCTAAAATTTTCTACAAAAAGTGGGGATTTGGCTTACCCCCTTCAAAAAGATTGGCATTGTTTACTTTCTAAATTCGGACGGACTCAGTAGAATGCAACCATGTAACGTGTTTGTTTACAAATACAGCACTACTCCAGGGAAGTTGGATCGGGATCTCCGGTTAAAGAGATATCTGAAAGTGGTCATAAGTCAGAAGAACTTTTTATGTTAAGGCAAAGCTTTACAGTAGAGATATACAATCGTTATATTTGTTATATAATTTTTTAGCCTTGCACAGGTTATAATAGTGCATTCTTATTATATAGAGAGGTGAAATCTCTCTTTATACTTTATCCTGGTTCTATCAAATTTTTTTTTTATTTTTTCTTGTTTTTTCTTTTTTTGGGTTTTTTTATTTTTTATTTCACTCTTTTCTCTTTTCCCTCTTTTGCTCATTTTCTCTTTTTAGTCATAGTTCATTTTCATTTTTTATAGAATTTTTTTTTTTGGACAATTCCAGTCATCTGTGATCTGGTAGGACGGAGTTGCTTATAGGCCTGAGTTAGGTTTTGCACCACGATATAGAACTGTATAAAGTCAGACTTCTTATTTGAAATTTATGTATTTATGTTATTATAAATATTAATAAATAAAATTAGTCACAGCAAGATCTGTCGATATTTAAAAATAAAATAAAATAAAATAAAGTAATTATAATTAGTTATAATACAAAATTTTGCCTATAAACCTAGTTTTTAAATTTTAATAAAAATTTTTTTTACTATTTTAGCAAAAGTTTAATTTGAAATTTTGTTTATTTTAATTTTAATTTAATTTTTATTCTAATTTTAAACTAACAAATTAATTTAAAAACTGCTATTTATATTATTTATATAATAATCATCCTAATTTTATTATATTATTGTTTATAAATTTTTTAAACTTTAATTTAAGAACTGCTTAAACCAAATTTAATAAATTTTTTTATTTGAATTTTATTAATAAAAATTACTATTTGTACACTAATATGTATACAATACTCAAAATTTTGCTTATAAAACTACTTTGGGGTTTTTGACTAGTATTTATTTTTTACAGTGTATGCATGTGCGCACACTGTGCAGGTCCAATCAAATTTTGAAATAAAGCAATTTGATTGGATCCACACAGTGCACACACATGTGCACACTGTGAAAAATAAATACTGGTTTTGACAAAAATAATATACATCAGAAAATTTTTAAATAAGATATATATCAATTAATAGCTGCAGGGTTAATTGGCATCAATTTATATCGATTATAATCACTTGTAATTATTTAAAATTAAATGATTGCAATTGATTTATATCAATTACAATCGATTGTAATCATTTAAATTTAAATGATTGCAATTGACTATAATCAATATAAATCGATGCCAATTAACCCTGCAGCTAGTAATCGATATGCATCTTATTTAAAAATTTACAGATATATACAAAATTTTAGTATAAAATGCTTTCGAACTCTAACCTCTAACTCTAACCCTAACCTTAATATTACCGTAAAGTGCCATATACAAGATCCTCTCAAATAGTAGATCCATCATGAATTAGACCCAGGCACGAACCACAAAATCTATATTAATTAACTATGGCTTTTTAAAATAGCTATACTGCCTATTGTAAATACAAAGTGTGTATTTACTTTAAAATTTTCCTTTTCATAATATAACCTCTCAGTGTGAACTAAACCCGGGGTTTACTATATAGTTTAAAAATTAGTAGAATGTAACAGACCTGAATCTTGTATATAGGCACTTTATAGTAAGTAGATTTTTTTAAAAAATTTATATATTGCACAAACTTGCAAATCAATTAATTAATACCTGTGTTTATATACTAGTATAAATTTAAAAATTTTCTTTACTAATTTATAATTCAAATAAAAAAATTTCTAAATTTAATATAGTAGTATTAAAATATTTATTAAAGTTTAAAGAATTTTAAAAGTTTATTATATGGGATCTTTGCTAGAAAAATCACCCTTCAGGATTTTTCAATCGGGCCAATTCAGAAAAGCTTAGACCAGAATGCTGCTTATTATTCATATGTAAATCATCTTTTGCTTTATTGATTTGATAGTTTATTAAATAAACTGTCGAACCAGTAAAGTAAAAAAATGATTTATATATGAATAAGAAGCGGTATTTTGGTCTAAGCTTTTCCGAATTGGCCTGATCAGAAAATCCTGAAGGGTGATTTTCCTAGCAAAGATCTTATATAGTAACTATGCTAAAACTGTATTAAAACTTTAATTAATTATATTTTAATAATTATTATATCAAATTTGATAAAAATTTTTTATTTAAATTTTATAAATTTATAAAACTTAAATAAAAAATTTTATTAGAT